AAAAAGACTTTAAAAAAGTTCTTACAAATAAAATGAAAACAAAATGCAAGCAACAGAATAGGCATTTATGGAATCCGTTAAAGCCAAGTAGCCGTGTCCAAGGTTCCATTTCCCCTGGATGCCCAGCCCCAGTTTCGGGAACTGTCCCTCCTTTTCCTTCCTCCTGCCCCTCCCCCTCCCGGGGTTTTGTGGCTGCTGCTGTTTGGGGGCTTTGTGGTGGTCGTCTTCTTGGTTTGGTTTAGGTTTTTTCTGGTGCTGGGGATGGAACCAAGGTCTCAGTGCTGACCCCTGAGCTGTGCACCTGGCCCCTCACTTTGAATTCTCTCTTCTGGGTTATCTGTTGGTTTTGATGGAAGTTTCTCAAGCTGTCAAGTATGGAGTTGGGGTGGGTGGTTGTGCTGGAGCAGGCTATAATAGTGCAGGATGTTACGCAATGTCCCTGTCTCCAGCCAGAAGGTCCCCAGCAGGCCCCTGCCGGCCCCCCAAGTCATGGCAACTGAGATATCTCCAAGCCAGGCCAGGTGGCGCGTGCCCGTGGTCCGCGTGACTCGGGAGGCTGAGGCTGAGGCCTTGGAGGCTCAAGAAGTTTGAGACCAGCCCGAGAACATACTGAGATCTGGCTCAAACAAACTGTTTTTAATTAATTGATTTTTTTAAGAAAATGTCCCCATACAGTTGGATGCAGCTGTCCATGCAACTCGGGAGACTGAAGCGGGAGAATCACAAGTTCAAGGCCAGCCTAGGCAAGTGAGCAAGGGTCTGTCTCAAAATAAAAATATAAAAGGGCTGGGGATGGAGCCCAGGGGTAGAGCCCTCCTGGGTTCAATCCCTAAAACCACATGCGCGCGGGCACACACACACACACACACACACACAAATGTCCCCAGGCAGGTGTCCCTTGGGACTAAGTTACTCTGTTAAGAATTAAGCCAGGCGCAGTGGTGCCCACCTGTAATCCCAGCGCGGCTTGGGAGGCTGAGGCAGGAGGATCGAAAGTTCAAAGCCAGCCTCAGCAATTTAGTGAGGCCCTAAGCAACTTAGTGAGACCCTATCTCTAAATAAAATATAAAAAAGGACGGGGATGTGGCTCAGTGATTAAGGATCCCCCAAAAAAGAGAGAGAGAGATTGGCTTAGATTGTAAACTGCAGATGGGGCAGGGCCTCACCCCCCAAACCTTTAAAAGTCCTGAATGTTCTATTTCTACCCACTGGATCTCATGCCCTAAAATTAGGTTCATGACTCACCCTCTTCCCTACCATCCGAGCCCCCTGGCTGCTGGGGTATCTAGGAGATGCCCTAGCTTCCTTCATTTGGTTTCCTCTTTGGTGACTTGGTCTTTCTGTGGAGGCTCAGGATGTGGCTGGGAGACCGTATCCATTGTGAAGCCTGAAATCTCCTTCAGCATTCAGCTCTTTGACTTTTTGGATCTCCTGGACCTATCTTCCAGAGCCTGAGCCCCCAGGGCTGGCGCCCAGCTTTCCTGAAGGGCCCTCGGCTGCTCAGCCCATTCCTACCTCAGGGCCTTTGCACCTGCTATTCCCTCCCAGGTGGCCACCATGCTGGCTTTTCCTTGCGTTTCATTCCTCTCTCAGCCCAGATGTCAACCAGACCTTAAAATCAAACAGCCCAAGACCCCATCTCCTCCTAGGATATTGTGAAATACATTTGGTCTTCCTCCCATTCCCTAGAATGCAATTCCTAAAATCCTGGGAATCTTCCAGAGAGTGTGTCTTTGTATGCTAATGAGGTGACTGGTGGCAGCAGCCTGGGGTGGCCTCTCAAGTAGGGGCTGGTCACCCAGACAGAATGAGGAAGCTGGGGACCTCCATCCCTACCCCCAACCTCAGGGAAGGGCAGAGGGGCTAAGGCTTGAGCTGGGCCGTGGCCAAGAATCTCGGCAGCCCTGCCTGGGGATGAGCCTCCGGAACCCGAGGGACAGATTCCAGAGCTTCAGGTGGGGACGGGTGGAGGTTCCCGCGAGCGGCACACCCAGGGAGCCCAGGGAGCTCCATGCCCTTCCCAGGGTGCCTGGCACCGGGAGCCTGTCCATCTGCTCCTCCGGGACACCCTGCCCTCCCCCCAGGACAGCGCGTTCATGTCCCCTCGGTTCTGGGAGTGGCAACCTGAAGACGGCCCTTCAGTCCTGCAGCT